CCCGGAGGAGGGCCAGGGAGCTGGGGGCACAGCGCGGTCAGGGGCGGGCGCATAGGAGGGCCAGGGGGCTGGGGGCACAGCGCGGTCAGGGGCGCAGGCAGCCCCGCGGCCTCTGCGGGGAGGGGCAGGTTCCGGAGGGGTCAAGTGATGCCCCAGTCTGGGTGGGCCAGGGCGGGAGACTGAGCTTGGGGGCCTGCTGGGGCATCGCGCCCCTCACCTTGGATAGTTCATGCAGTACCATGTGTAGATGTCAAAGTCCTCGCTCTGCAAGGGACAGAGGAGTCAGAGACCTGGGGTTCCCACCCCCGTGAAGTCCCTCCCGCCCAGCACAGGCGGCCCCCACCCTTCCCCAGCCTGCCCTGGAGGGGTGACCCCTCACCCTTGACGAACCCTCTGCACGAAGCACTCAGCGATGCCCCCGGCACTGCTGCTGCCCTCCAGGTCCTCCAGGAGCTCGCTGGGGAAAAGGGCGAGGGTGAGGACGGCCAGCCCCGCTGCCCCCACGCAGGACTCCAGGGGCAGAGACCCCAACAGTCCTTGAACTGGCGGCTGGGTGGCTGCCAGGCACTCAGGGGGGCACCATGTTCAGAGGGGGTCTCCAGGCACTATATGGGAGATGGCAACCTGCTCAGACCTCGAGCTTGGACAGCTGAGATCTCGTCACAGCTGGCCTGAGCCTGAGGTCCTTGCTGCATGACCCAGCCGGTATCGAAACCCTCAGAGCAGGGCCCTCCCTGGTGACACAGCACAGCAGACCTCTCCTGTCTCGCCACTGCTCCCCTCAGCAGTGGATTTCAGTAGATCTGCCTGTTCTGCTTCCCTTTCTGTCTCTGATGAATCTTCTCATCCCCCTCCCACCTCTGCCTGTACCCCAGGTCTTGTATGCGTAAATAAGTAAATCTTCAAAGAGGAAAAACCCTCAAAGCAGTGATAACCTTAAGATGCTACAATCTTGTCATGACTCTCAGGCCTCCCGCAATGTCTTAAGACCTCCTGGAGACACCCAGAGGTGCAGAGAACCTCAGACTCAGGTGTCCTCCCCACTAGGAGGCCACCCATACTGCTTTGTGAGGGACTCACGGTCAGGTAAGACCCACCTCAGAACAGGTGAGTCGCACAAAACTCTGCTCACGTGGTCCACAGGTTCACCACGGTTCAAGACCTGATGGTGCTGATCCCATCTTGATGCTGGGCCCACCCCATTATTTGCACCTCATTCGAGTCCTCGGGCTCCCCACCTCACTCTGTCATGATCCCTGGCTAGTGTCAGCCCACTCCATGTTCTTGCCTGGATGAACCACAAAAACCCCCAAGACCCCAAGGCTGGAGTGAGGAAACGGCCTGCCTTCCACCCCCAACAGCCAGCACCCCGCTGTCCAATCAGCCTCTGACCTGCTGAACTCGTAGATGTCCTCGATGTTGGCAAAGAGGGTGCCCACCTGCTCTGCACTCAGTCCCAGAACCCCACCGTCCAGCAAAGGGCCCAGGTAGTCCTGCGGGAGTGACGGGGTTACGGGGGGGAGGGGCTGGCCTGGGACCCCAGTGTGCTTAGGTGCCCCCGGCCTCACCTCCACAATGCTGCGGAGGTCCCGGACGTAGGCCCGCTCTGTCTCCACAATTTCACGGGCCACACGCTCCAGCCTTGACAGTTTCGCTGAGCCCTGGGTCCCCATGGGTGACAGATGCAGGCGAATGGGGGGTCCTGGCGGGGGCTCTGGTCTGGAGGCTGAGCAGGCTGGGGTGGGCCCTGGGGCCAGGTCTCCCTCAGAGCCCACTGTGCTCAGGGATGTGGAGCTCCCAGAACCTCGGGGAGAGGCCATGGCAGGGGCTGTGGGGGCTGCTGCAGGTGTGGAAGAGGGGATCAGGGGTCTCCAACAGGGGGGTAAGTACCCTCAGCCCCACACTCACTCACTCACACCTGGTCAACTCTTCCCCCCTGCACTGCGTGGATCCAGTACTGTCCTCTCCCATCAGGCTCCTCTTGGCTTCTGGCCTCTAATCCACCTCCATGTGTCAGCCTGGGAGATCTTTATTAATTTGTCCATGTGACACTGTTACTTCTCTGAGTATGAGCCCTTTGTGCTCCCGGAGAAAGTCCACAGGCCCCAGTGCCACACCGCCACCACACACCAGCCAGTTTTCCCGCGGCCTTACACTGAGTGTCCTGCAGCTTTTTCCTGTCACTTAAGTCAGCAAAGCCTCCTCCTCACCTCTGCTTCTTTGCATAGCTGTTCCCTCTGCGAGGACTAGCTTGCCTTGCCTTTTACAACTCGCTCCTCCTCATCTTTCACTTCTCAGCAAGCCTCCCTAGACCTCCCAGACTGGCTCCCACTGTCCCCTGGGCTTTCCCTCTTCCAGTCCCAACCACTCTGCCCTGGGACCCCCTCTCAGGACTACCATCTGGGGAAGACGCCCCCACCAGATTTGCAGTTCTGAGGGTAGGACGGGACATCCAATCCCGCCAGCATCACCCAGTCTCAGCAAGAGGGGGCTGTCCACTGGCCCCGCCCCTCCCTTGCAAGCTCACCTGAGCAAAAGTCACGCCCAGCTGCACAATCACACACTTCACCTCGGGCGCGCCCGGGGCTGGGGCTGGTTTTGCACTCGCTTGGTCCGCGGGCTCCCTCGGGCATGACTGGGCGCTCCGCAGCGCTCTGCAGAAAGACTCCGTGCTTGGACCCTTCAGACTGGGGGCTGAGCATCTAGAGGGGCCCCCCCCCTGCCCCGAGGAACTGAAAGAGGAGACAGAAGTAAAGTGATAGCAAAGGAGGGCCGGGGAGCGAAAGATAACAGAGAAAAGGACGGGAAAGGTGGGAACAAAGAGTGGAGAGCGCCACAGCAGCAGAAGCCGAGCGTCTGGCTCGCCTGGGGCCGGCGGCGCAGGGCGCCTGGGAACGCTCGGTCTCCGGCTGGAAGGAGGGTGAGGGGCAGGGCTGGGAAAAGCCGTGGGCGGGAGGCCGCGGGGTCCCAGGGGAGGGCGGAGGAGGCCGGGGGACCGGATGCCAGGGTCCCGCAGAAGGCTCCCTCCCCCGCCGGCCGCTGCGAGTTGGGGCGCTGGCCTCGATTTCCCCCTCCGATCAGTCCCTCCGCGACCTGCTCACGGTCCAAACGTCGAAGGCTCCCCACAACCCTCTGGTCCCGGGCTCCCGCCAGCGCTTCAGCTCGCCCCCCGCCGGCACGCCCCCTCATTGTTCACCGGCGGCAGCGCCGCCCCCTCCCCCCAGCCCAAGGGGCCCCTCGTTTCCCTCCTCACCTCCCAGGGAGTCTCCAGCCCCGAGTCAAGGCAGCCGGGTTCCGATCCGACTCTAACACGACCTCAAGGGAGGCGCAGAGCCGAATCGCGGGGCTCTACAGGTCAGGAGCGTGAACTTCGGGGCTCCCAGGCTCCGGGAGCCGGAATCTGGGGTCTGTCGAAGCATGGGGTACAGTGTCGAAATTTCTTGGTCCTCTAAGTAGGGACGCTGCTCTTGCGTCTCAGATGGTGGAGATGGGGAGCTAAGTTCTAGCGTCTTCTAGACAGGGCCGTCGGGGACCCGCATTCGGCTTCCGCGAACTCTGGGGCCGGGGGCGAACTCCGTCCAGAGGAGAGCGCAGGGGCGGGGGGGGCGGTGTCCCAAATTCCTGGACCACTTCAGCCCTGAACAGACCCGCTCGGGCACTAGGAGTGCGTACGCCCTAGTTCTCCGACCCGGAGTCCTGCCCGCGACCTTCGGGGGGCCTCGGGGGGTCTCTGGTCTGGGATGCTGATCTCTCCGAGCAGGAGGCTCCGCTTTCAGGACCGCCGGGGTCGATGCCCCAGACTCCGGCTTCTCCAGGAGAGGGCGCTGGGCACCTGGATATCTGGGGTCCGCGCGCTTGGACTTCGGCTCTCTCACGACGGGGTGCAGAAGTTCGGGAACTGCGGACCGCGACGCTGGCCTCCTCTGGCCCCGGGGTGGGCAGCTCCGGGGTCCAGCGGCGCCACATCCGCGGCGGGTGAGGCCGGTCCCAGCTGGGGGGCGGGGTCGGCCGCCCGGGGCCTCCCCTCCCCCCCAACCTCCGCGGCTCACATCCTGTTCCCGCCCGCGGGGGGGAGGGGCCGCCTTCCGGCCGCCAGCCCGCCCGCCCGGGAGGGGTTAAGACCCCGCCCCCCTGCCCTGCGTCTTGGGCTTTGAATATTCATGAAGGCGGGTCCCACGCAAACTACACCCCCAACATTCCAAATGCCTCGTGGACTTTTTCCTTTTACAGCCAGGGCCTCCGAGGCGTGAGAATCCGGAACTCGTGGCGTACTTTCTTCTGTTGACCAACCAAAAGGTTGCTGTTCGCATATGCAGTGCGAGGCGGGGCTGTCCGGCGGGGGGGTCACGTGGTCAGAAATGACTGAAGGCTCCCGCGGCGCAAGGGTGCGGCCGGAGCTCCAGTGGCGCAATCGGTTAGCGCGCGGTACTTATATGGCAGTGCGAGCGGAGCGATGCCGAGGTTGTGAGTTCGATCCTCACCTGGAGCATTCTTTTCCTTCTCACCAGTTTTTAAAATTCATAATTGCAGTAGTCGTCCGAAACCTCTACATCACTTAGAAGAATGAGCATTTCGATTTTCGGGCTAGAGAGCCTCGTGGAACAGGCGGCGTTCTTCTAAAGAGTTGTATTGTAAGAAGGTGCTGTTTCCAGCCTGGCCGCCAGGGGGTAGTATCGCTTCTTAGACGTCTGGGCATTCTTATTGGGTCTGCCAATCTCGGTTAACACTTGTGGGACCGTGGACCCACCGGCTGTGAATACCCCACAACCTCTTGCTCAGCCTCTTGCTCAGACTTGGGAGTTCCCTCCATCCAGTTTTACTGCGATACGTTTGCCATGTAACATATTAGTTCATGGTGCACACCATGATGTTGTATGTTTTGAGAAATGATTGCCACAATGTTAGTATCAGTGATGTCACGAAGTTAACTTTTTTTCTTGTGCTTTGAATTTTTTAACTTAAAAATTGAGGACACAAATGGGCGGGAACAACTGCCTCTGAAAGGGACAGATTTATTAGACAAGAGGCCAGCATAGACTTGGGCAAGATACTGGCCTTGAACATTTTAATTCTCTCACCTCTCTCTATTTCTGAATCGATTTGAGTGTTGTTTTTTTTTAAATACCAGCCCTCGTTTAGCGTTTAGATGTGAGTGATACAGCTGTAAACAGTGCTTCTGCCCCTGGGGATCTGACATTCTGGTACGAGGGCAGAGCCTACCAACATGAGGAACTAAGCAAATTCTGTGTTTGATGGTGCTAACTGTCCCGGAAAATGGAAAATGGACAGCAAACTAAGGAGGTGGTGGGCTGGAGGTTATTTTAACAGTCAGGGACCATCTAACTGAGGAAACATTTGAGCAGAGACCTGAAGGAGAGGCATGAGTTAGGCAGATTCAAGGGGAGTGAGGGATCTGTTCCAAGCCCAGTGCAGCTCATCGATCGGTGGAGCAGCGCAGAACTAAAGCAGTAGTGGCTTCGGAGGACTTTGGCTTTTGCATAATCTGACTCAGTTGTGATGACATGTTCCTTTGGGGTGTCCGGGAGACAAGGGAGGGGCTGTTTCAGGTGGGAGATTATCCCAGACCAGACCAAAGGACGAAGGAGGAGGAATTCTAGCTGATTTAAAGGTGATTCAGCTGTTTGGCTGAAGTTCGGGTTTGAGAGGGTCCAGGAAACTCCCAGGTGTTTGGCACTAGTGGAAGGTGCCATTTTAAAAAGTGAGGTTTTTTGTTTTTGTTTTTTAAATAGACAGAAGATCTGTTTTTTGCTAAGGGGCTGACCAGAGATGTCTGTTAATTCAGTGTCTGTAAATATTCCTGTAGTTGCTCTGACTCTACTTCCAGTACCTGTGGGTTTCTGTGTCTTCCTCAATCCTGTTCTCCTAAGGGCACCTCTCAGCCCTTTCCCACAAGGGGCCAGTTTGCTGGAATTGGAAATCAAAGGTCAGGGCATGGCCGTGGGGGAAGGGAACGGGGCCGAGGCCTGAGGAAAGAACAGAGAAGGACTGGAGAGGAAGTAGAGAGGGGAAGGCCAGGACTGGGAGAGGGGGTGGAGGGGAGGTAGAACCCAAGGCCCCAGGAGTCTGTGGGCAGGCAGGGGGAGGCCGAGAGGAGAGAAAGGAGGACTGAAGGGAAGTGCAGTAAAAAGGGAAAGGGAACGGAGTGGTGGCGGAAGAGGGATAGGAGACGCGAAGGCTGGAAGGAAAGGGCAGAAAAAGGGGAGAGGCAGTGAGGTCGGGGGAGGGGGAGAGTGGAGAGGGAGGAACCGCGGGGCCGCGAGGCGCGGGAGCGCCGGGACCTGAGGAACCGAGAGTGAGGGGGGAGGGGAGAGCAGTGAGGGG